CCTGCTGCCAGCAGTACCTTGACTTCCTTTGCAAGTGGCTTCAACTGTCACAAAGGGGCCTCATCTGGCTCTCATTAAGTGCAGCAGCCAAATCCCTTTTGATTTCAGTGGGCACTGACATGGAACCCAGTGACTTGAACCGGTGTCCAGCTGTGCAAAATCTTCTACTGTGATTGGAGCGAGTGGAGAGCAGAGAGAGTGCCAAGCTGGAAGTTCCTAGATGGGATAAGGCCAAACATGATTAGTAGTAATGGGGAATTGAAGACCCATCCTCTGCCTCCTAGTGAAACACACTGACAACCAGAACGGGGGTTCCCATACAAAATTTATCACCACACCTGCTTGATGCGTTTCATTGGACCATTTTGATTGCAGAGTTCTAAGCTCTTGAGTTTGAGAGAGGAAAACAAACCTGTGTTCTTTTAAAGGCTTAGGCTGTAGGGTGAAACAACAGCTCTCATGGGACAGAGCTGCCTTGCCACAGAAGCCTGGCACTTCTACATCTCTCCAGCTGGACAGGCAGGCTCCAGGAGGCTGGAGCCAACACCCATGCACAGTCACCTTGCAGTCGGTATCAATTTGGATGTACTCAAGGACTGGTCCTGCATAGGGTGGTTTCAAGGTGACAGTATAGAAGTGTGGAGCCTGCTCTATGAGTCTTCTGCAGAAGACTTTGCAATGCTCAGTCCTCCTCTGCTTTATATTAACAGGTGACAAAGCTTTTTGCTGAAGCTATCAAATACTCCGGGAAATTGGACTCCAGGAGTCTCTTCCACTACAGGCATTTTGGCAATGGAAACACTGCATAGAAGAGCTATCTGCAACCCGCAATTTCACTGCTGCTGGCATCACAAAAGAGAGGGGAATCTCAGATCATCCACCTAACTGTGTCTGTGTATTTTATAGCATCTGCACTGATTGTCTTTCTGACTCGCACAAACTAATTCCCAGTCAATGCTTTTGATTGTTCATTGGAAAGCTGTCCTCTCCCCAGCCTCTCTACCATCTTCTCCCCATTTTCACATAGGATCAAATATTACTTAATTACTAGATGTGTAGACCCAGACAACACCATAGTGGAGGAGATGAAAGGAGATACAAATGATCCTACATGAAGGTCGTTCCTTCATTTCATAGCCAAGACTGCTCCTCCATAGAAATGCCTTCCTTGGGTCTATACTCCCAGCTATTCCTGTGCTGGACTACTAAAGCCTGGCTCCAAAGTCCCATGGAAAGACATGTAGCTTTCTCTTTCCTTTTCCAATTACTGAGCATTTTACGACTTTATGTAACAATTAAACATCCTCCTGCTGTGACCCACCTGATGATACCGTGGATGTCTGCCATGGTGATGAGTGTGACAGGAGCTCTTTAAAGGCAGATGAACATGAATTCCCCATGGTTCCCTGCAAGAACTGGCAGACATGATGCAGCTTATTTTGTTTGGTTTTTAACCATGACCAAGAATCATCTTCTTCAGCCTGTAGATTTGATGGGAGTGGAAGGCTGTATTTGCATGTCCTTGAATTGCTTCCAAGTTCTGCTCAATCCTCCAGGCTCTTACTACTTACAAAATTCTGGTTCAACATCCTGAATCCAGGTCGCTGTCCCTATATCATAAAGGCCCACTCCCAGCTTTGCATCTGGCTTCCGAAGTGGAGAACTCCCAAAAGACTTCTGTGCATTGCTGTCTAACATTTTGTGTCATGATTGTGGGCATTAAAATTGGATCCTTTCAAAATGAGGTGAAAATGTTGCAGTGCTTTACCCTTCTCAACTTAGTGACCCTTCCACTTTCACTCCAGGCTTCTCTGCTGCCTTTTCAGCTCTGGCAACACCTACAAATACACTGTGCCACATAGTGCATGTCACTACTTGCTGTCTGCATGGCAAAAGACTTCAGCAGCTCTATGGCCAATGGCACCACATCCTACCACATATACACAATGCCAGCTTCTAAAAATTTACCAGCTAAGAAATGTATGTGCCTGTCTTCTTTCCCCCATGTTGCAGCGTGGAGTCAGGAAGAGTCAAAGCTGGACAACTTCTGTGATACTTGCTAGAGTAAGCTGAAATGGAGCATTTTCCTCCAACCACACTGTACCTGCCTGAGCTGCTGGATGCAGGGCACTGCTAGTTTGTAATGACCTGCCTCTTAGGTATCTCCCAATACCTTCAGACACTGCCAAGAAATACCACTGGCAGCCAGTGCTAGATACATGGTGGTGGAGCTGGATACTACCCAGCTTGTTCTGAAGCTATCAGCACTGGAAGTAGTGTGCTTTGGGCCACGTTGAGGAGATGAACAAACCTAGGCTGCTCCTTACAGGTGCTCTCAAGTTCCTTTAGGTCCCAACAAGCTTCAAGTGCAGGGAGAGAATAAGGACAGGGACGTAGTATTGGGTTTAAAAGATTTATACTAAAATATTTCAGGAAGGATATAAAAATCTATCCTTTTTTATATAAAAGTGTAAAGAAGTGGGCAGAGGCTGTTATGCCTTTGGGTAGCATGGGATTCTGAACACTTGGTGCTCAGTGCCATGACCAAATTTTGAGTGAGGTGTGGATTTTGTTCCTGATCTGGTTGACATCCCAAGTGCTCTTGTCATGGGTATTTCTTCAATATGAACTTTTATGATGAACACAACCCTGCCTGCTGTACACAGGGAGAGCTCTGTGCTTTTAGAGATGTTGTAAAAAACAAACAAACTAACAAAAACACCCCAACACCCCTCCCCCAAAAAAAACCCAAACGAAAAAAGAACTCCAGAAGAGCCCGAAGCCATCAAGTGTTCACCCATTCAGTTGGGAAATGGATGACTAATGGTGGTTAATGAAGCAGCACTCTAAATGCATCCTGCCCTTTTTTTTTTCCAGTGGCAAAAATCCCATTAACAACTGGGGTCACATCCTCCTACCCCGCTTTTACTTCGAGTAGTGAACAGAGCAACATCTTAAAACATCTGTATTCTCTTCCTCTTCAATTTTGTCACTTCTCTCATGAGCTGAAAATGAAATAAATGCCCCAGATTGTGAAAGTTGCTGTTCATTCTTCAATTCTGTGTGGCCTGGATTCTGCCCTTTTTCTTAAAGCATTTTTTTTCAAAGCACTGATGAGTGCGTGTTAAGAAACCATCACTCTTATGTTTGACAGTGGACACATTATTTAGTGCGGAGCTGCTGTATGCCTCAGAGGTGAGGAAGTAGTGGGAAAAGAGCAGCAGGACAGAGTGAATGCTCTTTGTCTTCAACTGCACGCACACAAGAGGAAGGAGAAGCCCTGGTTCCCCAGGAGGGACAAGTGAAATGTAGGAGAGGAGCTGGATGATAAAGCAGTGGGCTAAGAGACATTGAAGAGATGGGAACTTTAAGGAAGGGGCTGCCAGTTTTGGAAAACAGGAAAACCTTTACTGCTTTTAATTCAACTTTCTCAACCAGTGCTCCTGCCAATCAGCTACCAGTGTGGGGGTGTGTGTATCTATGTATACGTGAATCCATACGTTCCTGCTGTTACTTACTGCAGCAGCTGCAGGTACTTAAACTACAGCTTCTTTGGTGTCCACAGATGCTCATATAATTAAAGTGGAATTTAGTAGAAGAACACACCAGGGCTGAATATACCCTGGGTACTCTGTAATTATGCAGTAGTGTTAATGTTTTGCTGCTGGTGCTAAATGCTGGTCCCTTCCCCACTCCTCCAAAGCAGGTGACACTAATGTCCTTCCACGCTTCACCAGACCCATCTACACATACAGCAACCCCTGATCTGTCTTTTCCTCCACCTCCTTTTGCTGTTTTCTCCCCTTCACCTGTTGAAGAAAAAAGTTCTTTTCACTCTGGTCCATCATGGTCAGAAGGAGCCAGGAAATCATCCTCTAACTTACCTTGTGCAGACACTGAATGCTGGCTGAATTTGTTTCTAGATATGCTTTTCTTTGAGTAATCAAGGTGAGGACACTATAGGAAAAGATTCTTAAGTATCCACAGCTCTTGGGATCCATGCAGATCTGAAAAGAAAAAAAAAGTTACAATTAGTACCCTTTGTACCGAGCTCATCTTTGCTTTCAACAGATTCTGCCTTACAAATGTCTTTCTCTTATTAATCTTGGGGAGGGTGACAATGGCTGATGAAAGAGGATGCTGTTCAGAGCAAGAAATTTGCTAATCTGTGAGCAGTCAAATAATTTTATTCTTTTTACTGTCTTGAAAGAGGGTTGATAAAGAGACACATGAAGGTATAAGAGGCAGTACAAAGCACAACTTTTGAGATAAGCACAAAAAAGAATCAGAAAGAGCAATGATGAAATATGAAGGGACCTAAATTTTATTAACAGAGAGAGCTTTTTTTTCCTCAGTAGCTGGTCTGCTGAGCCACGGTCTGAAGCCGTAGCTCTTCAAGTGTGCCAGGTGCTGGGAAGATCTGGATACTCCATTTCCCAGGAGGCACTGCTGAATACTGAGGTCAGGCCCTTTATCCAGTTCATCACCATCTTGAACTTGCTCTTCTCAAGTCAGCACTATTTAAATCCCTTGGAGAGTGCTTGGGCAGCCCTTGCAGAGGTTAGCAGCAAAGCAGTGATAGTTTGGCATGTTGAAAGCAGTAAGAAAAGAATGTAAGAGAGTGAAGACAGCTTATTGCTACCACTTTCTGCTTTCTAGGTAGAGGTCTTAAAACACAGAAAGATGAGAGAATATGCTTTATACAAGTAAAAAAAAAATAGTGTAAAGCTTTAAGAAACCTCTTTGCTTCGAGACCACTTGAAGCAGTAAAAATAAAGTTTCTGAAAGTCCTAGGAAGTAGCCAAATAGCAAAGGCTGCACAGCCTGCAAAATCTCTTGGCAGTGAGTGCAGGAATCTGTCTTGCTTGGCTTACAGGTCACTGGGTTTTCCTGGACTGGATGTTGCCAGCAGCCTGTAAGGCATCTTTTGTTCCTTCCCCCACATACCAAGTATATTCTGCACTCTCAAGGTTTGAAAGCCTGTTTGTGCATTGGTTGGCTGTGCTTGCATCAGAGGCATCTAGGAGTCTGGCTGCAAGCTTAGCACCTCTGTATCCTTGTTATAAAGTGATCCATAAAAGTAGGGAAGGGATTGGAAGTTAGCACTACACTAAAAGCCATCACTGCAGTGTGTGTACAATACCAGTGGCTTGATGCACACCTGGTGCCTGTATCCCAGTCAGATGTGAACCACCATGAGCAGAAAGTTGGGCTCATGCAACAAATAAGATGAGGTGGTAAAAGGAGAGAGCACTTCTGGCTCCTTCTGTTTATAGTGTTTGTAACACCAAATCATAGCCAGAGCAGCCCCAGACCTTGGGAAGCTTTCAGCAGAGACAGCTAGTGCTGTTGTCACCCCCGCAAGGACAGGAGGTGCTGCCACGTCGTATGAAACATATGAATTCTGCTGCTGTAGCCATCTGGAGGACACTGAAATTCACTACGCTACAACAGTCAGCTGCCAAATAGTATCCAAAACCTCTGTTTTTCTTCTTTCCGCATCTCAATGTCTAACACTACATAATGTAATTTATAGGGAAAAATCGAGTTAGGCTGTAACACTTATTTCACCCTTGCGTTGAAGAGAATTTAAATACGAACCTTTTAATGTGTCCTAATTAAATCGAGAACAAGATATTTTGTCATTAACTAGATAGGCTAAGCTCTCACTCATCCTCATAATTAAAATATGTTGAATTCTGCAGGCTGATAATTCCAGTTGAGATAAACTCTCTTAATTCAGGGAAGTTTGTAAAGATGAAACCGAGAGACAAAAGCATTTGTTGCAAATTATGTTTAAGCTTTATGA